TTTCTTTCTTTCTTTCTTTCTTTCTTTCTTTCTTTCTTTCTTTCTTTCTTTCTTTCTTTCTTTCCTTCTACATATTCTTGAAGCTTCTCCTTAAAGAAAAAATGAGTAATAGTGCTTTGTCTTCTCAAAAGCATTTTAGCAACAGTTAAAACAGTTTCTTTTATTATGTATGTATGTGTCTATCTGCCTATAAATAGATCATCTGCATATTATTAACATTGCCTGGTGCTTTTTTGAAGTTGACTTGGCTAAGTAGGTATTGTTAAAAAAAATCTCAGGGTTTTATTTGACCAAATGATAATTATAAATGACCATTCATTGAAGATTCTGTCAGTTGTACTGTTTCATCAGGTGGGAGTTAAGATTCAGTATCTTTGTTGGGATCTGAGTTTCTAAAAGTCTCATTTACTGGCACCTCAGGTCAAATGTAAGATTAGGATGAGTGGCAGGAAAAAAAAAAAGGATTAGTGGCAGAAATTTTCTAGGCAGGCAAGGTTTTAAAAGGTTTAGCAGGTGAAAAAAAAAAAGTTTTAGCAGGTGTAGTATAGAAAGAGGGTTAGACTGAAAGTGGGGAGGAGTTATATATCACTTGAAAAGAAGGATTTTCTAATAATCAGCCAGAAAGCCTCTGGAATTTTTGAAAGTTATATCATAGCCTTAGAGAAAAGAAAACATTAGATTTGATATAAAATGTTCACAGAGCTATTTATTTATTTATATGAATTCCAGTTACCATCTTAGCAGCATATAATGGATCCAAATTAAATTGTATCTTTCAGGCTAATTCAGGAAGAAAAAGAATCCACGGAGTTACGTGCTGAAGAAATTGAGAACAGAGTGGCTAGTGTGAGCCTGGAAGGCCTGAATTTAGCAAGAGTCCACCCAGGTACCTCCATCACTGCCTCTGTTACAGCTTCTTCACTGGCCAGTTCATCTCCCCCGAGTGGACACTCAACGCCAAAGCTCACCCCTCGGAGTCCTGCCAGGGAAATGGATCGGATGGGAGTCATGACACTGGTATGATGATATGCACGAGAACATTGTCCCCATTAGGATTAATGGTGCATGAGCTGATACTTACTGGGTGTTTATTCTAAGGACCTTCTTTGGTTTTTATCATTTTTCTTTTCTCACAACATCCCTGTGTGGTAGGTGCAACTATTAATCCCATTATGAGGCAAGCAAATATAGCCTACACAGGTGTAATTTTCTAAGGTCACATAATAGGTAAGTAGAAGAGCAGCAATCTAAATATCACAGCAGCTATCTGAATGACTTAAACCATTAAGTAAATTTTTACAGGTAATATCTTGATGAAGTAAATTGGGACTGGGTATTTTATTTTTAATGCAATAAATCACAAAAAAATATTATTATAATTGCTTCAATAAAACAACAAAGAATGTCAACATTTTATAATATAGATAATATAATTTTAATAAGAAGATCCATCAAAAATAAGAGCAACAATTTCCCAATTTTGTTTTAGAATTTCATGTCAACATTTTTACCCTTCTTTATTCTTTAATTCTTTGTTTCATTTATTTTTATATTTGGGATTAATAGTTAGAAACCTAAGTTAGGAGGTACCCTGAATATAATTGAGAGAAAATCAAAATGCCTTTGCTAAAAATAATATAGAGAAACCTCTGGAATAAATGATGGGAATGACTACTGAGTGCTGTGATGGTTAGCCACTTAAATCTCATGATAACATCTGCAAGTCTGAGGGCATCACCTCAACAGAGAGCAGAGGTAACTGGGGTTTGAGAGCATGAGTAAATTGCTCATGTTCAACACAGTAAGTGGAGCTTGATTTTTTCTTCAAATTTGCTGGCACAAAAGCTTGTGCAATTCTGTCCCTTCTGTGTGTGTGTGTGATTACCTGGAAAGAACGTTTAAATGACAGTAATGAAGATTTAAATATTCTGAACTGTTTTTGGAGGTAAAATTCTGTTTTTGTAATGAATATTAAAACTTTACTATTAAAATAATAAAATTCTAATTAAAAATGAGTTTGGGGATAGAAATTAATTTAAAAAATAGGTGAAATAATAGTTTTATACAGTATAAAACTAGCACAAATATAACAAATGGAGGAGAAATTAATGATACTACAGAAGAATATGAAGTGTATACAGTGTTTCTAAATATAGTCAGAAGGCTGTGAAGCTTCTATAAAAAGTGTCACAGTATCTATCTCTGTGTGTATGTATGTGTGTAAAATATCTGAACAAAAAATTTTAATTCATTTTCTAAATGACATCTTTAATAAATATGTTGCAGGAATATGTATTGTAGCTAATAAATTGTAAAAATTATTTCCATTGGAATTGATTTATATTAATGCACATATGCACATATTTATAAAGAAATTATATCTATATCTATCTTTATATATAAAATGCTCTCACCTCTAGGCAAAAACTACCTTATAATTTTTTTTAATTTTATTTTTACAAAATCTGTTATGTATGTAAGTTAAATGTCTTTTTCTTTAATTTTACAATTGAAAATTGAAACAGAAAACTATTTTTATGGTGTGGCAGCATTTTTCACATTCAAACTCTTTATGATTATGGACTTCCATACAATAAAGTCAACATAAAAGAAACATGGCAAAATTTTTTAAAAAAGGAAACTTTTACCTTCTTACTTACCGTCTTAAACCACTGAGTCCTCTATTCTGTGCTCAGAATATTGATATTAAAAATATTTTTAAAATAGGGGCACCTGGGTGGCTCACTCAGTTAAGTGGCTGCCTTTAGCTCAGGTCTTGAGCTCAGGTCTTGTCCTGGGCTCTAGCCCCTCCCTAGTCAGGCTCGCTGCTGCTCAGCAGGGAGTCTGCTTCTCCCTCTGCCCCTCCCCCCTGCTCATGCTCGCTCGCTCTCAAATAAATAAATAAAATCTTAAAAAAATACTTTTAAAATAGACATCATAGACTGTGCCCAATCAGGACAAAGGACAGCTAATCAGAACTGACCCGCACTTTGACACAGCACAAAGTTTTAGCCAATGTACTATACACCCAGTATATGGAGCTACATTATGCTCTGCTTATTTTTAGAAATCTAGGAACCATTAATCTGACTTTAACTAAACAGGATATTGTCTCTGTCTTACTTTCTGTTTATATTTGCTGCATATATTGATGACTTATTATCAAAGCTACAGTAAGAATGTTGGCCCACAGAGCATAATTCAGCCAGCATTCAAGGCAAGGAAGCTTTGGTTATTTCTGTCCTATTCTTCCTTACATTTTTGCAACATAGTGTTTTGCTCTTTAAAGTATTTTCATAAACATTGATAATTTTATTATTTTATACTAATAAAATAATGTGTATAAACACATTTACACACATTATTTAGACATGATGTTTGTGTAATATGAAAAAGATGCCATAGCTTTCATGCATTTTCTTGAGCAGTTAGTCATAAATAAATCAATGATAAATGAACATTATTACACTGTAATTACAGTACTTAAAAATGTTTAAAGCACTTCCTGAGGGTAAAAAAAGTACATAAAATTTTCCATATCTGACTCAGAAAAACAAGAAATGAAACCCGGAAGTCCTTATCATCCTAAGAAAACTTTGTCATTAAATTCATCACTGCTACAGTGAAAGACAAGTAGATTTTCTTTTACCTATAGAAAATATTGGGGGGGATAATTTTGTTGGATATAATCCATGTTTGGATATTCAGAGGAAAATGAAGAATTTTAGGGACAGAAAAGCAGAGATTGAAAAGATATTATATTCATTTGTATTGTATATGTTTATATGTTTTGCAAACATTGTTATTTGTCCTGATTATAAAATGTGCTTTTATTTACTTTTACCTCACCACAAATCTTTTTTTTTTTAAGATTTTATTTATTTATTTGACAGAGAGAGAGAGAGACAGCGAGAGAGGGAACACAAGCAGGGGAGTGGAGGAGGGAGAAGCAGGCTTCCCGCCGAGCAGGGAGCCCAATGAGGGGCTCAATCCCAGGACCCCGGGATCACAACCTGAGCCAAAGGCAGACGCATAACGACTGAGCCACCCAGGCGCCCCTACATCACCACAAATCTATAAGCATAAAGAACAGTCTACCAATATCTAGTTAGAATATTGAATGAAGTAGATCAACCAATTTTCCAATAACATAAAAATATATAAATGTAACTAAAATGGAATAAAATTGTTTTACTCACACAAGAAAAATTAACGAAGATATTAAGTGAATAAGGTTCATCGGAAATCAGAAAGAATTAACTTTTAAAAAAATTCTGTAAAAGCACATTGACAAGAAAACAGCAGCTGTAGAAACATGTTATACTGAGGCCAGAGCTTTAGGCATTTGGGAATGAGAGATTTGTTAGGATGCCAGGAAGTTTGAGATGCATCAGGAATAACATCCCTGCCCAAGGGAGGACCAAGGCTCTGCATAGATAGGGCAAAAGGGAATGTTTATAAACTCCATATATGTGCATTGATTCTTCATTTATATATGATCTTCTTCATTCCCATTTATGTTTTCTTGGGAGGATATAGTCCCATATTTATTTCTGGCTAGATCACTCCATATGTGCTTCCTATTCCCTAGGGTTCTGTGTCTCAGATCTCATACACATATGTTTGACCCCATCATGTGGACATGCCCCCTACCAATTCCATCTATGAAGGTTCCTCTCTGAAGTCACTCTGAGGAGGAGTCCTTCTGTAATGGTTAAAGACATTTATTTAGAAAACAATGGAATGAAAAAACAAGACAGTCAAATTATAGAATACTGTTTAAACTTGTAACATGGTCAATGGTACTCATTAATTAGTTCTGTTTTATGTTGTTTTTATTACTGCCAATCACAGCCAAGTGATCTAAGGAAACATCGGAGAAAGGTACTGTAAATATCTTTTATATGATTGCTAGTTGAATATTGTTTTTCTGTGAAAGCTTTAAAATTATATTCCCATTAGTTGAGCCATTTTAGTAACATAAAAAGAAATATTAAAAGTATTTAAGTGTTATCCAATTGTGTAAATATGATTATAAGAACAAATGCCTCAAAATAAAATTGTTTATGCTTTCTAGGGTAATGGTTAGATTATGTGGTCTAAATATCCTAGAATTAGATTGTTTATTGTCAATGCTAGAACAATGCTGCTTGTTTTTAAATGTAGGTTTTACTGTTATTCAGGTATGTGAGACCAACATCAGGAGACCACTGTCAATGAAAAGAGAGTTTGTTACTCACACTTCCCCAGAGGAAGGGCATGCCCTGCTATGCAGAGGCAAAAGGAAGTACCAGAGGAGGTCCTGAAGCAGAAAGAGCTAGGAGAAAGGATGAGTAGGAGTTTTATTGTGGTTTCTGTTGGAAAGGCAAGGCAGGGTAAGCAGGCTTAGGATTGGCTAGTTTTAATCATGTCGGTGGGCTCTAGGTATTTGGGCCATCTCTAGTTGTCCAATTCCTGGCCTGGGATAATTAAGGCAGAGGAATATTGCCTCCTGAAGTGTAAGAGCCAGAGAGAGAGTATGATTTGGCGGCTGGTCTAGATTCATTGATGTGCACATGAAAGGCACACTCCAGGGAAGTAGTTTGCTATCTCTAGGAATTAGCTAGCCCTGAGAGGAACATTCTGTCGGGTCAGCATGGCACCAGATGCCAGAGCATCAAGAATACAGAACTTATAAAAATATAATTAATCTGCTGCCTTCCTGTTTGGTGTGACATAAATAGAATAAGTATTGGAAATGAGAAACAAAATTGACTCTAGTTCTGATTCACAAAATGACATCTTGTTAGATAATTGAGAACAGCAGAGCTCAGACTCATGGGATATTGGATGGGAAAGATTTCAAAGATTCAACCTACTATCTAGTGCATAAATCTATTTTTCAGTATCATCAAGATGTGATAGACTATTTCCAAACACTTCAGGAACCAGAAAACTGGTTTTTTTTTGTCTTTTTAAATTAAAGAAATCTGTATTTGTGTGGCTTAGATTGATGGAACTTTTTTTTTTCTTGAGTTAACATCTATCTTCCTATAGTATCTTCTCCATGATACTACCAGTTGGTTCTCAACTGTCAAATTTATCATGCATAAAGTTCTTTGTCTCTGACTTCCTCTACCACTTAAAAGGATTATTCTAGGAATATAGAAAGAAATTTGAGTAGATGATGGATATAAAAGAAGTTCAGTGGGTATAAGAAAAAAAGTCACAAAGGAAGGTCCCATACAGGAATGCAGGCTCAGGGAATTCAGCGGGTAAAGAAATGGTAAAAAAAAGTAGGTCATGGAAAGACCACAAACTAGGAATTGTTGTGTATCTGGCTAAGGAGTTACAGGTGTGATTCCATTTGCACTTCAAAAGAACACTTTAAGATAAGTATTATCACATCCATTTTACTGATGAGGAAATTGAATCTTAGCGAAGGTAAGTAATTAGCACATGTCATTCAACAAGTAAGAGAAATCAGAATTCAAATCCATCTCTGATTCCAAACCCTTTCTCCTCTATTTTATTTATACAGTGTAAGCTCCAAGCATTATTCAGATAAACAGTTTGTGTATGATGTTTTTAAAAGCTGGTATTTGGACAGTTGGCATATTTGACTGGTGGTGTGGAGAGAATAAGGCATTTTAGGAGGTGTTTCAGAGGAAAAACTCTGGAAGCAAAAGCGTCAGGCTTCGCAGAAATAATCACAGAAAACAATTACGGCTAGACCATGGGACTGTGAAGACATAAACACATATTAAGTAGAGTTTGGAAACGTACTTTATGAATTTAGATGAAAGGTGAGTTTAGGAAGAGTTTTCCAGAGTGTTAACCTCATGCTGAAAGTAGTTCTTGAAAAAGATTCTTCCGGTGGCACTGTACTCATTGAAATGGAAAGAGGAAATCCTATAAAGATGCCTACATGAACTGTTACAAGTAATCTAGGCTTGGATGACAAAAGCCCAGTCAAACAATTTATTTAAGTTCCTCCAATACATGAGGTCTTTATCGTATATCATATATAAACACACTTACGCATAATAGCTCAACATAGAAACAAAGCAAGGCATTATGTAGACATAAGATGATAAACAGCTTTAAAATTTTTGCTATAGCCATATTGCTAACTTTTTGTCATCAGAACTTCCAGAACTGTATCTTCTAACTATGCTTTCCACAATCTTTCCCTCTATATGTATGTATTTCAATGCACAGTGATGCCGTGAAAAAAATGCAGGATTGTTGTAAAAAAATACCTCTTACAATCAATTTGATTATTGAAAAGTCTGACTGTCATGCAGTTTTATATGTCTGTCTCTGACAAAATTTATGGTATCCTAAATTGTTCTGGATTCTGAACTAAATTATTCAAAGAAATCCCTTCCACCCCATCTTCTGGTTTCTGTATGCCTTTGTCCACATTCCCATGAGAGGTAGTGAAATGAAACAATTTGCAAGAATTTTTTTTTCTAATAAATTGCCACTCATTTTTTTTAAACATCTGGAACACATTTCATTAGCCTGATTTAATACACTTTATCTGGTAAAGTTGTATTTTTGCCACCTTCTCTTCTCACTTCAAAAATCTATGTAAAAGATATCCATGTTATGATAACCTGACTATGCATACTTTTTTTAGTGAATTAGCTCAAATATGTGTTCAGTAACTTTTTATAAAACATTTACATTCCTGATATATTGAAATGGATTCCAGGATAGCTTTCTTATAGTCCCTGGATAGTGATCTATGGTGTTTATTTACTCTGAAATAATATTTTTGTGTAAAGTATCCAAGGGTTTTGTTTTTTTTTTCCCCCAAACTGGAATGTCTTTATTTTTAAACAGTTATGACACACACTCTTCAATAATGTGAATTTATAAGTGTAAGACCTATTTGCCCCAAGTTTTTTATTTTGTTTTTGTATTAGAATTACTCAAATAGCCTTGCTTAATGATTTCTCCATTTCCATCCATTTCCATTGAAATCTAGAAAGAGTTCATCTGAATGTATTGTTTTCGCTTCTAGATTGCAGTGGTGGAAGAAGATGGTCGGGAGGACAAAGCAACAATTAAATGTGAAACTTCTCCTCCCCCTACCCCTAGAGCCATCAGGATGACTCACACCCTTCCCTCCTCCTACCACAATGAAGCCCGAAGGTATGACTCTCCCAACACACAGCACAAGGCCTGCTCTCCTTCGGAAAATACTCCTCTTTCTTTCAGTGTTGTCAAATTGACTGCTTAAACATTTATATGAGAAATTTTATTTGAGCTCTAGCTCTCCATTAAGGTATTGCCCTGCTCCCTCTCCCCAACATCACCTGTGGAAAAAAAATTTGCATTCTGAGATCAAGTTTTTAGTTTTAAAATTGACTGTATATTTGTGGTCTTATTATTAGCCAATATGGATGATACGAACTCTTCTATTTTTAGTGGATATTTCCTATTAAAATAAAGTCAGCTAATGGAAGGACTTATTAGGAAGAATAACAGAAAAATTAAGGGATTCTAGGACAAGACTATAAATTTGGCTTAGGTGTAAGAGTAATTAGGGTCTGAAAAGTCCGTAATTGCACATCATTTACTTTTAGCAGACAGATATGTATACCACCCTCCAGGTGCTGGTGCTGCTGGCTAGAACAGCTACCCAGGCAGAAAGTTCATAAGAAAAAAAATGGTATTTTTGCCAAAATATTAAAAGAAAAGGTAAGGGAAAATACCCATTTTTCACAGTAACTCATCCTGTGGTCCTTTCTGTCAGCCTACAAAATTGCAAGCAGATCTCCATGAGAATTAATGGCATAAATAAATCTAAGCATGCAATTCACATCTTAAATACATGGCCTTTTACATTCTTATCAATTGCAGCGTCTCAAGAAACATAATTGATATAACTGAACATAATGACTTAGTATTAATAACTTAGGTAAGAATCTGTCTTCTAAATAGTATGTGTTTTACACACATACTATTTGAAACAGAGCTTTCTGTGCTGGCAGGCATTTTTTGTCTTTCTGTTTTGCTTATTTTTAATTTCTAATGTGGAAAACAAAAGTTACTCCAATTTCAAAATATATGCTTTCACCTTCCAAGAAAAGAGTGAATTATATTTTAACATGTGAAAGCTATTGGTTTGGAGTTTAGAGAATGTGAACTCATTAATTAGGACAAATAAGTAAAGTAATTCATCATGGTGTCACATTAGCAGCTGTAGAATAGATAGCAATATATATTGAACCTCTCCTATTAATACGGTGTCAGTTACACTGACCAGGAATGGAACCTCAAGCAGCTGCTTGGAATTCATTTCAGTGTATCATGTACCTAAAAGAATACCTGAGAACTATAAGAAGAAACAAAAAGTGATCACTAGAGCATATGATTATTTGCTTCTAAATCCTTCCTAGATGATTTAAAATTAAACAATTTAGACTCCAAAACTGGGAGAGAGAAAGATGGCTAGAAGAGGGCGCCTGGGTGGCTCAGTCGTTAAGCGTCTGCCTTCGGCTCAGGTCATGATCTCAGGGTCCTGGGATCGAGTCCTGCATCGGGCTCCCTGCTCCTTGGGAGCCTGCTTCTCCCTCTGCCTCTCTCTCTCTCTGTCTCTAATGTAAATAAATAAAATCTTTAAAAAAAAAAAAATTAAAAAAAAAAAAAGATGGCTAGAAGAAACCCCAGTAAAGATGTGGGCTGGAATAGCAGCTTAAATTTCATAGTTAGTTAAACTTAAATGTCTTATCATAGGTCATTATGTTTATGACTGTAAAAAAACATAAGCTCTGAGAAGGAAATAGGGAAAGGGTCACATGCTAAAGAATGGATGGTCATTTAACATGCAATGAATAAGCCAACCTGTGTTCATTGATTCATTTGAGATCGTATCAGAAATAAGGGTGAAAACATTTAGAACAAAAATAATCTTTTCTAGAAAAAATTTGGAGGCTCAAGGCCCTGAGGCTGAGAAAAGCCAAACTTCAATATGCGTAAGAGCAAATGTGGGAGGAAAGGGAGAAAATAAGTGTTCTTCCGTTTGTCCCTTTCTAAAGGAACAAGTCTTAGTACTTTGTGGGACGAGCAGTTTGCTCTCTTTTGTGTTTTGCAGTAGTTTGTCTGCCTCCCTTGAGCCAGAAAGCCTTGGGCTTGGCAGTGCCAATAGCAGCCAAGACTCTCTTCACAAAGCCCCCAAGAAGAAGGGAATCAAGTCTTCGATAGGACGTCTGTTTGGTAAAAAAGAAAAAGCCCGACTTGGGCAGCTCCGTAAGTGTGCATGTGTTTGACTCTTCACTGCCACTCATTTCAGTCACTTCTGAGGGTCCATCTGCTTTTCATTTCATTTCCCATCTTTGCATTGCTTCTTTTTTCTACCCAACAAACCTTCTTTTTCAGTCAGCTCTGTAAATGCAATTTAGCTGAATAATGTTGGACAAAGCTTACAAGGGAAGAATATTGTAAAACGTATAGTCCTTTGATTTCTCTGTGAATAACAATAGCTAGAATTTATTTGATGCTGACTCTGTGATAGACACAAGGCCCCTATGAGGCAAGTGTTATTACTGTTATTCTTATTTATTGATGACTAAACAATGTCTTAGTAATTTGCAGAACTGAGAAATTTATCCTAGTGTCGGTGTTTCAAATCAGTTTAAAACCACTGAGCGTACTACCAGTTAAGGCACAGATATCTATAAAAGCTTTTCTGCTGAAACAGTTGAAATACCTATAAAAAATCCCAAATAATTTTTTTTTGTCAAAATAAAGAATTATATGCAGGGCAAAAAAGTACAGGATTTCTTTGTTTAAAGCGAACACAGCTTTCCACAAACTCTACACTATGTAGGTGGGGAGACAGAGGAAGCAATAGGGCAATAGGGATTGTGTTAGTTAGTTATTGTTAGTCACTAATTGAATAAAAATATAGATCAGTACATTTGAAATGACTCTAGGTAAATATATAAACATATGTACATAGATAGGTGATGGATGGATGGATGGACAGACATATTTATAATTGTCTGAAACAAAAAGAATATGAAAAATGTATTTCCTAAAATGATGATATATACACTTGCCTTGTGTGTGTGTGTGTGTGTGTGTCTTCCTATATATTTATTTTTTCTTGGGAAATCACTTTTTCCATCATATTGGCTATTGTGATTGCATCTTCTTTTTTCCATCTTTTCCTATTTAACTTAGAACTATAGTTAAATTATTGGGAAATATTTAGCTCCCACCTCTAACACTAAATGCTGAACAGAATGATACAAATTTCTTAGCACTTTTTCAGTTTTCCAAATAAAGGAATGATTACTTACAAGTAATGCTCCAGCTCCCAGGCTTACTTTCCTGTCCTGGCACCAAAAGAATTTCTGAGAATAATATTTATGTTTGCAAATTTACAAATGTGATATATTCAAAAATGCCCTTCCCAACTTCCATAATATAAAACCCACACAAAGCATCAGAAGCCATGGGAAACTGATGCCTGACCAGCTGTGTGATTAAATGTTACTCAGCAGGTGAATTAAATCCTCTTTGGATTTCTATTTCTCAGGAGGGAACTCCTTAAGCTATAAAAAAAATTATTGCATAACGAAAGAAGATAGAAGATGATTCTTTTTTAAATATAAAATATACATGCCAAGGCATTGTTTTAATTTTTTTATTTGACAACTATTTATAATCTTACCAAATTATTTGTCATTTCCAATATATTACAGTGTAATTCACAATAGTGTAAATAGTTATTTTAAGATATTTATTTTGCTAACATAGTAATCATTTTATTTATTCCTATTTCAACATATATATTCATTTTAGGATCTATAATTTACTTTTCCCTTTTAATATATATTTAATTGCCTTTCTCTCATGGATTTTTTTCTATTTTTATTTTGTATTTAACTTCGATGAGGAGTAACTGAATCAGAAATTTTGCCAATATTCTTTCAAAATCAAAGTCAAGATATAATTTAAAGTCTGGTAAAATTTAGATTCTTCTAGAAACCTAGCCCTTCTTACCCATTTTCAGTGACTGTGTGTCTCTATGTCAGACCAGATGAAAAGGGAATCAATGATAATTATTTTTTGATCAACACCATCCAAGTTGGAAACTATCGATAGTTATTGGGGATCATAGCATCACCCCAGGAAGAATTCTGAGCTCTGAAACAATTTTGTTTTACGCAGTAAAACAGTATAAATAAAGCCAGAGTCAGCAGCATGCTAAGGACTGCACTACTGATGAGGAAGACAGTGACAAATATCTGTGCCTCTGGAACTATGTAGAAGCTGTACTGAAGGTGAATCAAAGCTCCTAGAGAAGCCAAGAATAAAAAGTCTTTACTGGAAATAAGACTGGAGTAAAGAAGAAGAAAATACAGACACAAATAGGTTCTAAAAAACCATATATTTACCAAAAGAATATGGTACATGGTACCACTGGTACTTTGGTTGAGGGATAAGGACTCAGGTCTACTTTTGTCTTGGAAGGTGTGTTGTACGGGGAAGACTGTGAAAACTTTTCAAACCCCAGGGGCTACCACCTGGTCATGCTGGTTTATGCATCAGAAGAAACTAAGAAAGACCTCTAGTGGTTATGGTTTTAATATCTTGATCTGACAAATTTAGACACAGGCACTGGCAATGTTCTTTCTTCTACCAATGTGAATAGAAATAGAAAAAAAGAAAGATGGCACGGAAAGTAATATGGTAGAGGGATGATGGTGTCAAAGAACCAAATTTGAAGTTTTGGACCACGTCTTAAGATTTTGAACTCTTAGTTAAAGATTTAGCTCATAAGCTCAAAGAAAGAAAAGTAATCTGAGGGTAGCTGTGCTAGAGGCCTCTAAATGAAATATGGTACGGAGGAAGAAAACTATCTAAATAGAACTATGAATGTGTTTGCTTGGTTCCATCAGGAATGATGAAGAACAAAGGAGAAATTCTTAGTAATTCAAAGAGGAGAATATTAAGGGGGTGTTGTTTGCATGGTATAACAATCTGAAAAGCTAGGGTTATAAGATGAACTTCAGATATGATGGATCAGTCAGTGTGACTGCATTAATAACCCCTAACCATGAATCAAACTGAATATGCAAGTAGTCATTTTTTCAAATGTGTTACTAGTAGAGACAATATAAACATGGAGACCCCAAAGCACAAAGGAAACAACACATCCAAAAACATTTGAATAAAGCTAACAGAAACCAAACAAAATCATTTTATTCCAGAAGTCTATTTATTTATTTATTTGAGAGAGAGAAAACAAGCAAGAGGGGGAGTGGGGGAGAGGCAGAGGGAGAGAGAGAGTCTTAAGCAGGCTCCACACTGGGTGTGGTGGGGCTCAATCTCACGACCCTGAGATCATGACCTGAGCCAAAATCAAGAGTTGAACGCTTAACCGACTGAGCCACCCAGGTGCCCCTATTCCAGAAATCCTTAAAGCATGTTTTCCTTGGATACCTTTATTATTCAAAAGTAGCGTGGAGAAAAGCTTGGTAGTAATGGAAGATTTCACATTTTCAGGTACCTTTTAGAAAATTCATTCTGCTCTTTATCAGATGGTTTGACAGTTCTATTTATAGTATTAATGCCTATAATGTAGGAGCAGGATTTGCAAACTAAAATGTACTCAGTGCATCAAATTATAGGCAGGGTTTAAAATAACAGGAAGTGATATAGATTAAAATGAGTGAATGAGCATTTGTTCTTCCATTTAAAGCATTCATATTTGATTTTTAAGTACTATGCTGGAAAGGTAAAACATATATATGAGCCAAGTCTACCTGAAGGTACCAATTGATTTGGGGAAAGTATCCTAGCGAGGAAGAACTCCTTCTAGCAGACATGGGATCTGGTTTTAGTTTCTCTTTCTCCTTTTATTTTCACTTACTCTCTTCCCATAGTACAAATCCCAAGATGAAAAGATGCAAAAACAGGTTTGATAATCTTGTTGAGGGGCATAGAGACAACAGGACCAGTAAGAACTTCTGCTGACTTTGTAGAACGTAGATCCAGGGTGTGATAGTAGTCTATCAAGACATAGCAGCCCAATGACCACAGCCGTTTCTCCCGATGCATACATCTAGAGATGCAAGGCATCTCCGATATTTCCATTAATATTTAAACATGCTTATGTCTAATCTGTATTTAAAGTCATCATTTGATCCTGCCATCTTCCTTAGATATTAACTTATCTTTCCCCTGCCTCTAATATCCAAGCTTAAATGAGTTGTCCACAATTAACTATTTTCACATTCTCATCTGTCAGTCACTTTATAACCTACCACAGCCTGACTTCCACACAAACTACTACTAAAATTCTAGAATCAATTTTAGTCTTAACCAACACAGAAGATTGGTTAAGACAGTGAAGGATAGATGTTATCCCAGCAATTCAAAAGGATAGTAACACACTCAGGATAGTATTTATTATGATGTGAACTTAAGGAAGAAGCAGTATATCTGAAACAGGAGACCTCTTTCTAAAAAACATAATTTGAACGATTTTGGTACCAAAGTTGTGTGTATAACAAGTGATAGGTATAAACAAACATGTAAGAACAATGTCAGAAAGTCCACTAGCCCCAAATAAACTGATGATTGGAAAAACTGTCCAGGCCAAAAGGGGACTTACAAAATCCTATTATAATTTCTGCTTAGTAATTCTAAAATTTAAAGAAAATTAATAAAAGTAAGGTTTGCCTTATGTGAACAGTAAGTACGAATAAGTGAAACTATTCAAAAATTCATTTTTGCTTTTGCTTGCTTAAAGAGAAAGATTTTACCCAGAAAAGAAGCATAACAAGAGGGAATTGAAACCCAAAAGGGTTGAGATTTTGAGGGAAAAAAAGAACACAGAGATAATCCAAAGTCATTTCTGTCCACCTTCTTTGAGTGAATAAGCGTGTGTTGAGCCACTCTTACGTGTAGAGTACCGACCATGAACTTCAGTAAAATGGCCAAAGCATAACTGTTGACATCAAAGGACTTCTAATTTATTAAAATGAAGTACATAAGCACATACAACCTTTTATTTAAAACAAAACAAAACCAAACCTTCAGCACATTCCTGACCCACAGAAAGTTTCCCTGCTGCATTGTTTATCCTACCAGGATAGCTAGGGATAGGGGTTTTGAACCCCACGATCTAAGATTATACATCGGTTATTGGAATCCTGACTGGCTTGCCTTTTAATTCTATCTGAAGGCATTAACCTGTTTTGAAGCAAAGCAAATTAAATGGTGTTAAAAATAAC